GGGGGGGCGGGTGCGGGGCGGGGCGGGGGGGGGGGGGGGGGGGGGGGGCTGTGGCCACTCACCGATGAGGGTGAGGAAGACGACAAAGGCCGCAGTGTCCCAGGCAGACTGGAACAGCTGGCGGCTCCGCAGTCTCCCCAGCACTTCCTGGGCCGTGGCCTCCAGCTCCCGCTGCAGCTCCTCCGTGGACAGACCCATCCCCGCAGGGCCTTGGTTCCACCTGCTCCAGTCCCAGAGCTCCTGAGCACCTGGCTGCTCTCAGGCCAGCCACATCCAGGCCCCCGCAGCCCAGCAGCCCAGCCCTGGTGCCTGCCGCCCCATCAACCTAGGGGACCTCGCTGTGCTGACTCCCCTGAAAATATTCCACATAGGGACAGTTACCGTGTCTCGGTGGGCTTTCTCCCTTGCCTCCCTAGCCCCTCGGTCTCAGCCTCTGTCCCCCCCTAGCACACCACCCTGCCCTCCCACGTTTTGCTGGGCAGTCTAGTCCCTCCCTTGACCTGGCCTGGCAGCCCCTGCCTCTCCCCCTAGCAACCTGGGCCCCAGGCTCCCACCTGCCTCTGGGCACCCTGGATCCCGGCCTGGCAGGTCCGTGGTCCTGGGAGCACAAACTCTTCCTGCTTCCGGAGCCAAGACTCCATGCCACCTGAGGCCTTGGCAACCAGCCCCGCCCTCCCCAGGGCCAGCCAGGGCTGCGGAGCTCTGGGACAGGGAGGGGCCAGGCCTGAGCTGTGCTTCCCGCCTCCCAGCAGAAAGGCCTTGGCGCCACGAATGGCTGCGTGGCTTCCAGATTCCTTACTCTTCTTGTCTCCCAGGCGAGTGGTCTGGAACACCTGAACACAGGCTGCTGACCTGGTGCGTGAAGGACAGAAAGGGAGGAGAGGAGGGAGGGAGGAGGGAGGGAGGTGGGCCTGGGAGGGAGGAGGGCACAGGGTTGCAAAGGGGTGCCTGTGTACATGTCTGAGGGGAGCTCTCAGGAAGGTGGCTCCTGTGACTGCAGAGGCTGCAAGGCCCACGACAGGCCTCTGCAAACCAGGGACCTCGGGATGCAGGCTCAGGCCACATCCAAAGTCTCAGAACCAGGGGAGCAGATGGCGTGACTCAGAACTGGGGTAGGGGCCCAGTGTATGTCCCGGGGGCCAACAGCAGGTGAGCCCCAGGTTCTGAGGCCCAAGGCAGCAGAAGAAAAGGTCTAGCCCCCTGTCAGCTGAAACCAGGGTCCTCTCTGGGAAGGCCAGGGGATCGAGGCGATTGTTTCGTTTGCAGAGTTTGTGAGTCTTCCCCGCTGAGTCTGCTGACTCGATGCTCTGCAAACCAGGCTTTTAAGTCTTCCTTAACCCAGTCATGTTGACACCCAAAAGTAACTGTCAAGGGGCGGGGAAGGCCCGGAGCAGGGAGGGAAGAAGGGCCTCCAAGAACCTGCCTTTCCACTTTCTGGGCCCCTGGGACTGACACACCTGGCATCAACCTAGGGGTCTTTGCTGTGCTGATTCCCCTGAAGCTATCCCATAAGGTGCCGGTTACCGTGTCTCGGTGGGCTTTCTCCAGAACGTGGAGCTGGGTCCCGGGCCGGACTGCTCCGCTCCCTCGTGCAGAGGCAGCTCTTGTGCCTCTTCTAGTGCACAGGCGTGTCGAGGCCCACCCGGGGCCAGATGCGCCCCAGCCTAGAGACAGGGCTGTGAACCAGGTGGACGCGAGTCTAGTTCTCGTGTGCACGTGGGCTAGCAGCAGGGGAAACCCAGCCCATTAGCCTCCGCTCCCGACGCTGTCCGCACCGTGCCTGCTTCACTCCTTGTGACAACCCGGAAGTGACTTAGCGCCATTCCCGCCTCACAGGTGAGGAAACAGATCTAGAGTGATGAGCAGCTCGCCCAAGCCCTGTTCGGTGTGTCCATTTCCCACGGCTGCCACACACCACCACAAGCCCAGGGCCTTCAGATAACACAGACGCGTTACTGTGTAGCTCTGGAGGCCGGAGTTTAAGTATCATCTTCCAGTTCCAGAGGTGGGAGTTAAAAAGGGTCAGCAGTCTGTGGTCCCTCTGGAGGGTCTAGCAGGATCTGCCCCTGCCTCTTCCAGCTCTAATGGCCACCCACATTCCCTGGCTCCTGGCTGCACGCCCTCCAAGCCCTGCTTCCCTCCTCAGTGTCCCTCTCTGACCCCGACCCTCTGCCCTCCCTCTTCCAAGGATGCTGGTGCCTACACTGAGGGTCCACACAGCTGGTCCAGGTCCCTAATCCAGTCACGTCTGCGGAATTCCTCTTTCTTGGGGGGAACTTTTTAAATTTAATTTATTTAATTATTTTATTTATTTTTATTTGACCAGAGAGGGACAGTAAAGGGGGGAGTTGAGAAAGCAAGCCGCCAGGTCTGGGACTTGAACTGTGGTCAGCCATGTAGGAGTCCAGCACCCATTACCACCACACCACCTGCCGGTCCCCCGGAGTCCCTCTTGTCAGGGAAAGCAACACAGCCACAGGTCCCAGGGACTGGAAGAAGAACACTATTGGAAATTTAGGGACTGCTGACTACACCCAGTGAGCAGGACCCCGAATTCAGAACCAGGCACTTGGGTCCCAGAACTCTGGCCACTGTGTCCTGGGTCTCCTGTGCTGAGATGCTGTTAGGCCAAGTTGGCTTAGTCACTGCCATGTTAGGGAATGCTGGGGCAAGTTAGCTTAATCGCTACCCTGTTAAGTCTTCAAGGACGGAGCCCACTTTGTTAGGGCCTCAAGGACGGAAACCAGGAGTCTGGGAACTCTCAGATAAGTGGAAAACCTCTGAGGCAAGGTCATCCAGACCCTTAGCTGAGAGCCCTTACCTAGACCTGAGCAGGTGGTGACAGCTGGACCCTCGCTTCTCATACCCCCTCCTTTGTGTGTGTTACATTCTATGGAAAATCCTGAACTATAAAGGATCCCTTTATCTTAGGCTCGGGGTCCTTGTTGAGACCCGCTGCGACAGGCAGAAACATGGACCCCAGTTAGCTGGAAAAATAAAAGCCTCTTTTGCAGTTGCATTGTCGTTGTCTTTTCTGCGTCTCCATCAGTTAGACCGACCTCTGGACCCTTACAATGCCAAATTCACACACCCCTTGGTCCAGTTCTGAGGTCTCAGATTCCTCTGCCAGAGGGAAGGTGGTTCTTTTCTTTTTGGAGAGGTTTTTGCTATAGAGCGTGTACACTCGCCAGAGAGACAGAGACAGAGAGAGACTGAAAGCGAGAAATCACCCCCCGGGGGGATGGCATGCTGCAATCCCTTCTCCTCCATTCTCCTCTCGGGATCTTGGGTACACACACACACGCACCTGGCGTGAGTTTAAGCCACCGGCTCCGGGACTCCAACCACAGTTGACTACATGGGAGTCCAGTGACTTAGCCATTACGCCAACTGCTGGACCCAGAAGGTTGTTCCGAAATGACTGGGGGTGGGAACGTCTGGAGCCACGGGGAAGAACAAGTCGGCAGTTCTTTAATTACATGTAGTGTTACTACAAGACCTAGCAATTCCGCTTCTAGGTGAACTGGAAAAATTCCCCAAGGGAACTGAAAACAGAGATTCAAACCGAGACTTGGACACGAATGATCCCAGCAGTGCTGTTCACAACAGCCCAACCACGTCCACCAACGACAGAGATGCCTGTGCCCTAGGCAGGGGTTAGTACTCAGCCACAGACAGAAGGGCTGACGTCCACGCCCACAGCGCCGTGGGTGAACCTCAGGCACCAGGCTCGGCGAGAGGCCCGACACAGGCTCTTCCATGCTTCTGTTTCTTGTTTTCTCTTTCTTTTTTAAAATTTGCTGGAGGGTGCATCTGCTTTCTGGGGAGAGAGAGAGAGAAAGAGGAAATGAGAAAGGGCCCCCAGGGAGGATGACCACACCACAGTCCCTTCTCCATTCTCTGGGGATTTGGGGCACACGTCCACATGTGCTCAGTGTGTTTCTTGTCTTTTTTTTTTTTTTTGAGAGATTTTCACTGTAGGGCGCGTGCGCTCGCCAGACAGACAGAGAGAGACATAGAGACAGAAAGCGAGAAATCACCCCCCAGGGGGGATGGTCACGCCACAATCCCTTCTCCTCCATTCTCCTCTCGGGATCTTGGGCACGCACGCACACGCGCCCGGCGTGAGTTTTAAGCCACCGGGTCCGGGACACGAACCGCGGTCGACTACGTGGGAGTCCAGCGACATGGCCATTACGCTAACTGCTGGTTCCCCTCAGGGTGTTTCTTGAGCCACCGGATCTAGGACTCAAACCACAGAGTTGGCCATGTGGGATGCAGCCGTCTTACCACCATGTCTGGCTCTGTGATTCCATTTCTATGAAATGTCCAGAGTAAGCAAAATCATGGGGAAAAAGAACACTCGAGGCTTCCTGAAGTGGGGGTGACTGCCCAACGGGGTGTCCTTGTGGAGCACCGCACACAGCTTGGAACTTGAGTGAGGCCGTGTCCACGTGGCATTGGCAAGGATCATGAGGCTGTGATGTTTTCACTTTAAGATGCCTAGTGGGGAGGGACCAGCAGTTAGCGTAATGGCTATGTCGCTGGACTCCCACGTAGTCGACCGCGGTTT